GCATGGTGGCCAAGCGCTTACCCATTGCTCCTGCACAGTATCTCTGAACTCTGGAAGTTGCCGGAGACAGATCCCCCAGGCTCTGTGACTTACTGGGTCAGTAAACGGAGCTAGTCCCTGTATCGATCCTGAATTGCAACCCTGAAAAACCCAGCCCATCGTCATCGGGCCCAATTGCGACTCACAGAGAGTTCCCAAGACCAAGCCTCATCTTTCAAACCCGCTTGGTGGGTCTGAACTGCCGACCTTGCGGTTGGCAGCCCCACACCAGACAGAAACACAAGGTTGGCTTAAGAGGGATATAAGATCGTGCCACCCCCCAAGGCTTTGGGGGTTCCTTTAAGCATAAATTCTGGCCCCCCCTTTTTTTGGAGGTCAGTACTGAGACCCTCTTTAATGAGCTGTAGGTTGTCTAGCTCAGTGCCCTTCCGGCCTAACTGGTACTCACTAATGGATGGCTGGCTGACACTCCAGTCACCTCACAGGTGTCAAAACAAGTCCAGAGTCCGGTCTTAAGGGTGGCATGCACCCATAGCCAACAGGGCTCTCTGATCTGGTCCAAGTGCTCATTGAATCGGGCCGATCTGAGGCTCGCCTCGCCTTCTCCTGTCAGCACTGTCCTTCTCGGTGGGTGGGTGGGTGATAAGCAGGACTTACTTTGGCACCCCCGGCCGTTCTCTTCTAAACTGTACCCGTCGGCACAGGCGCACGTGTACTTGGGAGAGTGATCATTAATCTGCGGTGCTGGCAAGCAGAGGTAACCGCACCCGCCGTTCGCCGAGTCTTCCTCACACCAGTTTTTCCCTAGTCACCAAAAGAAGGGGGGGGGGGAGTCCTTTTAAGTAAGTACCCCAGTGTCAACCCAAAGCCTCATTCTAGAAGCTCACGAGAGTCCCCAAAAACCAAACCCACTACCATTGAGTCACAGCAACCCAACAGGACGGAGTTGGCCTGCCCCTGTGGGTTTCAGAGACGATATCTCTTTACGGGAGTAGAAAACCTTGGATTTCTCCCTCAGAGCGGCTGGTGGTTTCAAACCACTGAACTTGCCATTAGCAGCCCAATGCTAATCCACTACACCACCACTACACCTCAGCTAGGTCACAGGAGGGCTGCATTCCTAGTGAGTGAGCTGGGGATACCCTGCAGCTGCCCCATCACAATGCCCATAAGTTACCTGCGGGCTGGACCAGCTCATGGTAGACGACGATGTCCTGAGCATCATTGAGGTTGTTGACCAGGGTGGCCAGCTCGGACCCAGTGAATTTATTGGCACCATAGACAGCTTCATTTTCCCCATCTATCCAGTAGACACGGTCCTGAAACAGAACTCCAATCAGTGTAGACTCCCAAGAGGAACCCAGGTCCGTGTCAAAGGTCACCATCATGGATGGTCCACTGAGTGACCCAGGTGCAAAACAGCAAGGGGAGCGAGTCCAGTTTTCCGGCAGGGCTTTGAGGGTTGAGTAAGGGCATTGGGCCGGGTGTCCAGGGAGGGCGTACGGACACCTCTGCCAATTCTTTCTCCCCACAGAGCGACAACCACGCTGAACTGGACACACACATCTCACCTCAAAGATGGTCAGTGCAAGAGGGTGAGCGAGGAATTCCAGGGACTTCAGCACTATCCGGCGGTCCTGGCCATTCAGGTCCACACTGGACAGCATGTGCAACTTGGAGTCCAGCCAATAGAGGCGGCCTTTTATCAGGTCTGTGGAGGAGAAGGGATCGTCGGGGTGGGGCAAGGTCTTAGGGTGCTGGCTAGGGTCTATAGTGCTCCAAGAAGCGGCTACTCTGCTTTCGAGGTCCATCCTGCTCCAGGGAGTCCTGTCTGAAGCCCTGCTGACCTCGTCAGCCGGCTGAGCCTGACCCTTTACTTACTTCTGACCACAAGGAGCCGCTGGGGGCGCAGTGGGTCACACAGTGGGCTGCTACCGCAAAGTCAGCAGTTTGAAGCCATTAGCTGCTTTGCCAGAGAAAGATGAGGCTTTCTGCTCCCATAGGGGCAGCTCTACCATATCCTAGAGGGTTGCCAGGAGTTGCAACTGACTTAGGGGCATTGAGAGCAGAGTCTCCCCGTAACTGACATTGGAAACATCAACAATAACACACTGTCAGCAGCAGCCTGAGCTGGACCGAGGCTCATGTACAAAGGAATCACATGTTGTCCAGGCCTGGGTCATCTCTGGCAGGTTGTAGATCAGACCAGTGATCCTCTGGGTTTCCACTGGCTGAGGGTTAGAAGTAGATCGCCACGCCTTTCTTCCTAGTCTAGGCCGGACACTCTGTCTAGACAATCTAGAAACATGGCCTGTCCTGGAATCTGGCTCTCCTGCACAGAAGAGGAGATGCCTATCCCTGCACCAATCACATTATAAGAAGTATCAACACACAAGTAGTTAACAGATAGAAAACGGGCAGAAGTTTACACCCAGGGAGGCTGTGCCAGGGGCAGTTAGTCTGAGTGTCCCCAGGCATGATGGGAGGCTCGAACAATCGAGTCAGGACTCGGGGAGTGTGCGGTCTATCACGTCCACCCACCAGCTGCCCTCTATTTAGTCCAACGCATGGTGCATGCTGAGTCTGCGGGGAGGGTGTCAGGGAACTGTGCTCCCCAGGGCTTTCCAATGGGGGCTTTGAGGAGGTTGGTCCCCAAACTCTTAACGCGCAGCTGCGCACACTGACCCTTTCTGCACCCCCCAGGCACTCTCCTCTCAGACTCCCTGCTGGCGAAGGGACAGTGAGTGACCTCCGGGCCCGCCCAGAGAGGTGAGTGACAGCACTCAAGGTCAGGGGGCCGGGGAAGGAGACGCGTACATACCCAGGGTAATGCCATTGGGCCACTGGATGTCCATGGTCACCAGTGGTCGCCGGTCGAATCCGTTCATGCCCGCTTTCTCTATCTTGGCCGGTTCGCCCCAGTCTGACCAGTACACAAAGCTGGAAGGAAGCCCGTTAGAGAGAAACCTCAGCGGGTTGCGAGGAAGGAGGCCGTGGCCTGCAGCAGAAGCCCAAGGGGCACACAGAACTCTCTGGAGGTGAAGAGGAAACACACCAAGGTCCCTGCAACTTGCAAATCTTAACCCATAGGTCAGGTCGGGGAGCTCATCATTAAATGCCTTCATCTGCATAGGGCAGTCCCTCAGGGCACAGCCCCAAACCCCAAGGTTAGGACATGCTCCCTGTAGAGGAGATGCTGACTACTCCCTAGGGAGTGCGGGCTGAGGGCTCTTTTCACGTGACAGTACAAGCTGGCTGCCTCCTGGGGACGCTCTGCGGGACCACCTGTGAGCCTGAGGGGTACAATGGATGGGCATTCAGCCTGGCAGATCAAACCTCCCTGTGGCCTGATGGCTCTTCCCCCGCTAAAGATGGCAGCCTTGAAACCCCACAGGGCAGTTCTCCTCTGGGACCCAGGGCCACCCCAAGTCAAAAGCAACTAATGAGGAGGCACTCCGTGGTAGCTACCAACTTCCAGAGCTGCCCGTTAGCCAGGAGGCTGGGGCTCGGGTCAAGAAAAGCATCCCCTTCCACAAAAGGTGTCCAGAAAGTTCTATCGTTCCAAGGAGTCTTCCAGACAATGTGCACTTCTGGCCAGAGTCTTAACGCGTCACGCTAGCACTTAACGGTGGGCATTCACAGGGAACATGGCCAAACGTTCAGACCACAATGAAAACCACTTCCGGGGCAGCAGGATAGCACCGAGTGGTGGAGACAGGGTGGCCTCGGCCAGCAGCGCACCAGGGCTGCTAAGGGAAGGGTTGGAGCCCACCCAAAGGTGCCTCAGAGGAAAGGCCTGGTGGTCTACTCCCGAAAAAGCTCAGCCGCTGGGCAGCCCTGACACACACGTGGGGTGGCTGCGCACCTGCACCGACTCGGTGCCCGCAGGGTTTTACTGAAACCTTGTCAAAGTGTTGGAAAGCAAAGCTGTCTCTGAGGACTAAGGTGCTCCTGACCCAGGCTATGGAATTTTTGCTTGCTTCCTGTGTGTGAAAGTTGGACGATGAACAAGAAGCTCAAAGAAGAATCAGTGCTTTGCGTTGTGGAGAATATGGAAAGGACCATGGACCGCTGAAAGGACAAATAAATCCGCGTTGGAAGAAGCACAACCAGAGTGCTCCTTAGAGGAGGGCCAGACTTTGTTCCACATTGTCCAGAGACCAGTCCCTGGAGAAGGAAGCCCCTCGATGAGACGGATGGACACAGGGGCTACAACCATGGGCTCACACATCAGGACAATTGTGCAGATGGTACAGGACCGAGTGGTCCTTTGTCCTGTTGTTCATACGGCCATGAGGGGTCGGAACCAACTTGGCAGCACCGAACAGCAACAACAACATACTGGCCTGACAGAGGGATGTGGGCACGGTGGGGTTTCCCAACCACGGAACCGGTGACATTGTGGGCTGGGCAAGTCTTGGTTGTAGAGGGCTGCCCCATCTGGGGGTATCAGCACCCGTCTGGGCATGCATCAAGATCCCGGCCTAAGGGGCCAGCATGCGAAGGCGACAGGGGCGGACAGCACGGGATACCAACCCAGACAGCGGATCCACGGCTATGGAGGCCGGCTCTCGCAAGTCGGAATTAAACAGGAACTTCCTCTTGCTTCCATCTAAGGTAGCTACTGAAATAGTCTTAGAAGCGGCATCAGTCCAGTAGATGGTCTTGTACACCCAATCCACAGCGATGGCTGCAGGATTATAGACATTGTCGATCATTTTAACATGTCTACCAACCTTGTCATCAACTGAGGCACTGCAACAGAACAGGTCACGAGAAATCAAAGAGTTTGAGACCATCCGAGCCTGCAGAACGGACTCCCTGCTACACTTCCTGCCCGCACGACCATCGGCTGCACTGTGCGGAATCCGCGCTAGCTGACCACTGCCCCCTGGACGGGGCCATGGCTGCTGCCTTGGCTGAGTTCGCCGCAGCGCGCGGGCCATCTAGTCCCCGCTGCTGTGGCTCCTCCATGACATTCCTAGGGCCACCTGTCGTTTTAGTAGCTACGAGCTGACCAGCTTGAGTTCCTTCTCTGGGTCAGCAGCTGGCACCCTCCCTATTTGTAACCACACTGGGGAGTCTGTTCTCAATTAACTGGGGAGAAAATACGAGAAAGAAAGGTGCCATCTATGAGCAAGGTCAGGGACACCTTTGACTTCCTAGATGGTGGCTGGTGTGCCCAGTTCACCCAGCGGCACCACGGAAGGAAGGCCTGGTGATCGAGCTTCAAAAGAAACCAGCCATTGAAAACCCGAGGGGCACAGTGCTACTCCAGCCCGCAGGGCACCCCGCGGGGCCAACCTGAGTCGGAAGCAAGTTGGCGGCAACGGGCAAGGGTTAGTTAGGCACGGAGAGTCATGTGGCAAAGAAGCCCTGGTGGTGTGGCAGGTTACACACTGTGCTGCTGACCCACAGGGTTGGCAGTTTGACACCGCCAATTGCTCCGTGGGAGAAAGATGAGACTTTCTGTGCCCAGAATGATCCCAGCCTCAGGAACCCACGGGAGTAATTGCACCCTGTCCTGTAGGGTCTCTGGGAGTCCGAATCGACTCAGTGGCAGTGAATTTGGCTTGATTTGAGTCCTATCTCAAGGTATCTGAACCAGGTAATTAGCTGCTGATAAGAGCTGGGGGTGAGAGCCTGCTGCGCTAAGCCTCCTTCCCATAGGCCAAGGCGTGTGCCAAATCTTGGGCCAAGACGGCTAGCAGGGAGCCAAGAGTTACCTGAAGATGGCCTTTTGGCTCAGATCCGCCCAGTACAGTTTCTGGGCAGCTATGTCGGCATCGAGAGCCACCGTGTTTCTTAGCTGCTCCACCAGCTGGATATACTCCCTCCTCTCCAAGCCTATCTTCCGGATGTCTCTCCTGTTTGTGAAGATTAGACTGGGCTCTGTGCCTGAAACACAGAAGGAAAATCGGTTGAATTTCGCTGTTAGAAGGCAAGGTTCTTCTAAGTCTCCACAGAGGACCTCTTGAGGCCCAGGCACAGCAGAACCCCTTGCGGTAGCAGAACGACCCCAGCCCAAGGCCTTTACCTACTGCCTTGCACACGCCAGTGGCAAGATCCATCTGGTAGCCACGGCTGCATTCACACTTGTAACCACCCTTCAAGTTGATACAGATCTGGCTGCAGATTCCTGGGTTTTGGCATTCGTCAATATCTAGGAGGGAAACGAGAATCAGTCTGGCTGTGCGCCTGTCTGTAAGGAGCCCTGGTGGTACAGCAGTTATGCATTGTGTTGCTAACCACAAGGTCCACGGTTTGAAACCACCCGCCTCTCTGAGGGAGAAAGATGAGGCTCTCTACACCTATCCAGAGTTAGTCTCGGAAGCCCACGGGGGCAGTTCTATCTTGTCCTATGGGGCCACTATGAGTCAGAATCAACTTGATGGCAGTTGAATGTGGCTTTTAGAGTTTGGTACCTGTCTGTGTCCCAGAGCCTGCCCACCCCCACCCCTCCATCAAACCCTCGGAGCTCGGGCCGCCCCTAGGACTCACCTCCACAGGTCCTCTTATCTATCAGCTCAAACCCAGCGGCACAGTCGCACTCGTAGCCCACGACAAGGTCCCTGCAGATGTGTGAGCAGCCGCCGTTGTTGACCGAGCACTCGTTCACATCTGGAACGAAGACAAGGCACAGCGGGTGACCTGGACTGCTTGTCGCAGGCCCGCCGCTTGTCTCAGGATTGAATCCTGGCTGCCCGTCACCGCCAGTCCCTGAGCCTGGTGACACCGAGCTCACTCCCAGGCCAGATTGGTTTGTTTTATAGCTTTGTCTCTCCGGACGGGCCAGGGGAAGGAGAACCTGGCTCCAAGGAGGCCTGGTGGCGCAGTGGTTAAAGTGCTCGGCCGCTAACCCAAAGGCCAGCAGACGGAGAAAAAGATGTGTGTGTATGTTGGGGGTCTGCTCCATATAGATGATAGCCTTGAAGACCCTCGGGGGTGGGGCTGTCCTCCTGTGTCCTGTGGGGTTGTGATGAGTCAAAATGGCTTCGTGGCCCTAAGTTTAGTTTCTGGATTTTCCTTTTCAAACTGACGGCCCCTGGACATCTACCAGACTGCAGCGATCTGTGTGGGGCTTCAGTTATGCACTTGTAGGGATGGCTTGGCCTGTGCCGTCAGAGTTTGGTGACGGAAGTCCCACAATTGACCGGAGTTGGGGAGAGGTGGCATGGCTGAGGCCCGATTCGGGGTGCGGCCCGAGCAACCCGCTTTACTCACGGCACTCCTTCAGGGGCTCATCACTCCAGTCCCTGCAGTCCTGTTCCTGGTCACACACTTTGGTGGCCTCGATGCATTCTCCACTCTGGCACTTGAACTTCCCGGGGCCCGAGCACTGGTTGGCTGCGGGGAGGGTGGCACAGAGAGATGACACCTGACCCTCACCCACTCCACCCCACCCGGGCCTCCCGTCCAGGTAAGAGAGCCCCTCACCGTTTTTGCAGTTGACTTCATCGGAGCCGTCCACGCAGTCCCGGATACCGTTGCACTGCCTGCTGCCGTGGATGCAGCTGCCGTCCTCACAACCAAACTGGTCCGGCCGGCAGGTCCGGGAGGCTGCAGAGAGGGCAATGGCTGTGGTGTGAGTAGCCAGCGGGCACCCCGGGGGGTGGAGGTGGAGAGTAGACCTGTGGGCTGGACCCGGGTGCCCTGGCACTGGGGGTGGGGTGGGGAGGGTTAGGCTACTCACGACAGTTGACCTCGTCACTGCCGTCCCTGCAATCGGGGTCCCCGTCACAGCGCCACCTCTTGTGGATGCACTCGCCGGAGCCGCACTGGACCTCACTGACTGGGCAGCGGGCGTGCATGGCTGGCTGGCGGCCACACTGCTCCAGGGACTCGTCAGACTGGTCGGAGCAGTCGGCGTCCTCGTCACACACCCAGCCCAGGGGGATGCAGGAGGCCGTGCTGCATTGGAACTCATGGGGGCCGCACGTGGGGGGCATGCAGTCCAGCTCGTCGCTGCCATCACCGCAGTCATCCTGCCCGTTGCACACGAAGTTCTTGGAGATGCAGCGGCCGCCGGAGCAGGTGAACTCCTGGGCGCTGCATGTCACGTTGCCTACAGGCAGACAGGGGCCCCCGGGAGAGCTGTCAGGCCCAGCCCACCCCTGCCCCGTCCTGGCATCGGAAGGCATGGCTCTCCAAGGCCCAGCCTGGTGCTCTGGGTTAAAACCACACACAAAAAAATCCCTGCCATCGAGTCAACGCTGACTCGCAGTGCCCCTACAGGACAGCGTAGAACTGTTCCTGTGGGTTTCCGAAATGGAATCTCTTCACGGGAGAACGCCGCCTCTTTCTCTTATGGCACGGCTGGTGGATTCGAACTGCTGGCCTGGAGGTTAGCAGCCCAAAGCATAACCAACCCACTGTGATGCCAGGGCTCATCTTTGGCTTCAAGTTAGAGCCCTAGAGCGCTGGGTTGGAGCGTCTGTGTGCCAGACCTATAGCAACCCGTGCAGAGCAACCATCGTGGCAGGGTGGATGATGTAAGTGACTGCAGCCTCGACGCCTGCGTGGGGTGAGCACTCCAAAGGACTCTCTAGCCCCATGTCGGAGCGTAACCGTCTCACCTAAGGTGCTGTGGCTTTCATCTGGAGAGCGGCAGATTGCCAGAGCCTTGCTTCTGCAGCACCCCTGGGCAAGCTCCACTGGCCAACCTTCGGATGAGCAGTGGGGTGGCACCCAGGAGTCCACTTTTGGGTCATGGAGCCTGCGTTCGCCTCAGCAGAACCTACTGTTTGTCGCCCATGTTGGTGGATAACTCAGGCGGGACAGGTAGTGATCATGATGTTGCGGTCGCCAGAGAGACCCCTGTATGTACGTGGGCCTTCCTGCTGGGGTCCTCCCAGCAAGGACCTGAACCATTCTTGGTGCTCAGAAAGCCACGCTTGGCCAAGGGGTGTGATCCCCCAGCTGAGCACCAATTATCTCCTCGCACTAGCAGGGGTGGGTGGAGGGGTGGGGGGCTTTGATCCTCATCCCTGCCAAGCCCCTCCAGGCCACAGTGTGGTGGGGCTTTCGGTGGAGACAATGACTCTCTTGGGAAGGAAAGTGTTGTCAGAAGGGGGCATTCGGCAGCCTCCGGGCTCACTAATGCATCCATCCCCGATTGAAGACTAAGCCCTCTCCAGGCAGGGCCGGTGTCCTGGTGGGTCCCGACCACCGTTCCCTCCTTCACCTGCCCCCAAGGACCAGGAGAGGCCTGGCAGATGTGGGAGTGGAGGGCCCTGTGGGGCCGTCTGTCAAAGGGCACCCGCTTGAAAGTACTTTACCATGTTTGTTCAGCCCAGCACTTTCCCAGGCCTCCCTCACCTCGGGCAGGTTGCCTCCCAAGAACGGAGAGATGAAAGAGGAGGAAGCAGAGTTGGCTTTCACAGGTTGGGTGACAGGTGACAAAGATCGCAGGGCTTGGGGAGGAGTGGTTTCACTTTGGGGATGGGCTGGGAAGGGGCTAATGCATGCTCCAGGCCCGGCCCATTTTCTGGCAGGGCAATTGCAGGCTCTAGCTTGCAGGGGTGAAGCAAGGCTAGTCCGGCACTCAAGGAATGATCCCTGATGAGCAAATCTAGCTTGGGCCTCTCCCGGCGTGGGTGGCCCGACTTCCCCGACTTGTGAGCTTCAGGACATGGCTTGCCAGGTCTCGCTTCTGAGGTGCCTTTGGGGAGAGACTCGAACCTTTCAGTCAGTTGCCCAACAAAGGCAAGAATGGGCAGAGTAGCTACATCACTGAGCTCCTTCTGGTGGCAGGTGCCTCACCTAGCTTACCCGGCTCCTGTTGTCAAGAGAGACCAGTCCCTGGAGAAGGACATGATGTTGGTACAGCAGAGGGGCAGGGAAAAAGAGGAAGGCCCTGGACGAGATGGATGGACACCGCGACTCCAACCTAAGAGCGGTGGTGAGGAGGGTACTGCACTGTCCAGTGTCCTGTCACCCATGGGGTCGCCGTGAGTTGAACTGACTTGAAGGCCCCCTACCACAGCAATCTGCCATCTCTGTTCCCTGTCCTGGCGGCAGCTTTAGGAAGGACTGACTGACACATCGTCTTGCTTCTGAACTGTGGTGCTGGGGAAGCATACTGAAAGTAGTAGCACAGAGGGCTAAAAGGACACACGGAGCAGCCTTGCAAGAAGTACGGCCAGAGTGCGCCACCGTGGCCCTGTCTCTCCTTCTCTGCACACGGTATTGGGAGAGGCAGTGCTCGGAGAAGGACACGATGCTCACTGACCCAGAGGGTCAGAGGAGAAGACCCTGGACAAGGCGGATGGACACAGCGGCTGCCCCCCTGGGCTCGGACATGACCGTCACGGTGAGGGCGGCGCAGGGCCGGGTGTTGTTTTGCTCCGTTGTGCACGGGGTCGCTATGGGTTGGAACCAATTCAGTGGCACCCAACAACAACCACAACAACAACAAACAGGAGACACCAGCGCCAGCAATGGCCAATGGGCGCCTTCCCGAGTCCAGCCCTCTCGCGGCGCTGAGCCCGTCCAGATGCACCTGCGGGTGACCTGCCCGCCCTACCCCACTAGCCTTCTTACCACAGTTTTCTTCGTCCTCTCCATTGTCACAGTCACTTTCGCCGTCACACCTCCAGGACACTGGCACACACTGAGTGGACCGGGACCCGCAGCTGATCTCGTGTGCTTGACACGTCCGCATATCTGTTGGCAACACACAGTCTCAGAGGAGCCTGGGGCCGGGCTGGCCTAGAGCGGCCACTCCTGAGCTTCCCGAGCCATGACGGCCTAGGATGCCCACAGAGGGCTACCTGAGGAGCCCTGCCTACCGATGCTACCTGCAGTACACCTGGGAGCCTGGCTGCCCAGCTCCTCCAAGCGCCCGTGGGCTTTCCCACTTCTGGCTCTGGCTTTTTTGGGTGGTGGTTGTGAGTCGATTTCCGACTCACGGCACTGGAGGGCAGAGGAGAACTGTGCCCCCACACGCATCCCCTCCCCTTGGGCTTCCTGGGCTGTCACCTTTGCAGGAGCAGTTTGCCAGCTCTCTTCTTCCACAGAGCCACGGGTCGGCGTGGGCCCCCGGCCTTGTGGACAGCAGGAGAGTGCCAACCGCTGTCTCTATGAGGTGCCTTCCACTAGGCAAGGGATAGGTGTGCTGGCTGGCCTGGTCTGTCTGGTCCTGTGTGGACTCCGGCTCGTGGTGACCCCGTGCGTGTCAGACAACTGTGCTCCGTGGCACTTTCAATGGCTAGGGCATTTTGGAAATGGATCGCCTGACCTTTCTTCCGTGGTGCTTCTGGGTGGGCTGGAACCACCAACCTTTGGTTTAGTAAGCCAATGCTTAGTCACTGGTATCACCCGGAGACTCCTGCGTCCTTATTTCTCTGAAGGCTGTCAGGTATGATCCCCTATTCCCAACTTCCCCGGGGCCAGCAGGCTGAAGACCCAGGAAGTCTCCCTTTGGGTCGGGCCCATGCGCCTTGCCAAGCAGGAAGATGCTTTCCTTCTGGACCTGACCTCCCCACGCACCCCTACTTACCCCACCCCACCCACTAACACTGAGGCTGGGGTACCTCTAGAACCTCTCTTTGCCTGGGACGGCACACCTGCCTGGGCTGACCCCTTCCTGGTCCCTCACTTCTGGTGAGAAAAGCTGAGACAAACACACCTCGGTTGCTCCTCGGCTTCATTGCATTTTCGGATCAAATTCAGGCCTCAGCTTCCTTTGATCAAGCGAATCCTTCACTCGAGGGTTTCAAACGACCCCTAACCCCCTAAACCAAGCCCACTACCACCGAGTCAATTCCGACTCACACTCATAGAAACCCTCTAGGTCCCTACAGGGACCCTACAGGACAGAGGGGAACGGCTCCCTAGGGGTTCCAAGAGTGTAAATCTTTATGAAAGCAGACAGCCTCAACTTTCCCTTGAGAAGCGGCTGGTGGGTTTGAACCGCCGAGCTTGGGGTGAGCAGTCACAGAGTGTACTCTTAAGACTTTCTTCACCTGGATATGCCAGACTCCTCAGAGGAGCTCAGCTACACAAGGGCCCCTGCAAAGTCTCTCACTGACAGAGGGTCCCAAGTGCCACTGCTTGTCGTGAAAAGCCAGCGCTGGGCCTGTCACCAGCCATCTCACCCTTCCAGCAATAGGTTTCTGGTACACTGGGAAGCCTGACGTCTCTGATCTGATACTTGGCCCAGGAGGGACCACTCTACCACACCATCAAACTCCAAGTCACTGTCAAACACTGCGAGCGAGTCCAGGAGTGCCTGCTGGCTCCGGGACGGGGAGCTGGGAAGGGTGAAGCTATGCAAGGCAAGGTCAGTGTGGACAGACCGAGGCAGAGGGACGAGCCCTCTGGGAAGGGGACTGTCCACGGTGTGACTAACTTGGAATCCAACGGCCTTCCCAGGAGCTGGACCAAACTCACCGGCATGGAGTCGATTCCGACTCGCAGCGACCCTGCGTGGGGTTCCCAGAGCTGTACGGCAGCGGGCAGCCTAGCCTTTCTCCCACAGAGCGACCAGTGGGCTTGAACCATTGACCCTGCTGTTGGCATGCCAATGTGTCCCCGACAGCTCTAGGTGGACTCGGAAGCGCGGACACCAAGGGTCAAGTGAAACCTTGGAGCCGCGGCCGAGCTGGGGGCAGTCCAAGCCCAAAGCCAGAGCACACTCACGACACTGCTCCGGGCTCTCGTCAGAGCCGTCCTCGCAGTCAGGGTCCCCGTCACACTGCCACCTGTTGGGGACACACTGGCCGTTGTTGCACACGAAGTCTGACTCGGCACACGTCTTCTTCACTACAAGAGAGAGCGTTTATTGGCGGGGTGCAAGTCGAAGTCCCCCACGCAAGAGCCCAGTTTCACGTGGAAGGCAAAAGCCTCTATCCGTGGTACACGCGGTTAGCGTGCTGGGTTGCTGATCCGAAGGTTGGCGGTTCGAGTCCACTCAGGGGAGCCTCGGAGGAAAGGCCTGGCAGTCTACTTCCATGGGGGATGGGGTGGGGGGTAACACTCTTTCCCCGCAGAACCCCCAGGGAGCACAGTTTCAGACTGATCCCCATGGGGCGCCATGAGTGGGAACCGGCTTGACAGGGGCTGGTTATTGGTTTTGATTTGTTTAGCTCTGAGTCTGCAGCAGAATTCACCAGCATCCCGCTGTCCATCTCCAGGGGAGCTGGAGAGGCTTGGAGGAGGTGAAAGTTACAGCCACCTAAGCCGTCCATTCCTGAAGTTAAGCAACGGCTCCAATCTCTTCCCGCAGGACCTCCAAGCCCCGGGAGGACTTTGTAAGTTCCACAGCCCTTCAGTTCACCACGGTCATGGGGGCGGGGGCCCTTTCCTAACCAGAGCGATGGATGGATTCATGTAGAGACGGGAGGGCACGCCCCAGAAATGAAGTACATCCCCTCCACGGGCCTGCTGCAGGAGCCTGGTGGTCTGGCGGTTTCAGCACTGGGCTTCGGACTGAAAGGTCGGCGGTTCAAACCCACCCAGCTGGCCCTTGGGAAAAAGGCGTGGCAGCCTGTCTCCTGGAAGATTCGCAGCCTTGGGAACCCTACGGAGCGGCTCTGCCCGACCCTATAGGGTCGCTGTGAGTCAGAATGGGCTTGCCATGGTGAGGTGACTGTTCTACTGAGCATGGGGCCCTTCAGGCAGCCCCCGGGGTCCAGGCAAGATGGAATCTTCAGCGGGCTTTCTGGGTTTACAAGTCAGTCGGAACACGTGCACAGTTTGTCTCCAGCCTGACTTCAGCACGAGAAACATGCCCAGGCGGTTCAGACCCACGAGAGGACCACGTGGCCTTCGGGTCTGTCAAGAGACCGCCTGGGAAATGCTTCGGGGCAGGCCCAGCCTGCCGGAGGGTCACTCAGAGCCTACACTGACTTGACAGCCGTGGAGTCTGGACTGTACAGGCTGTGGGTGACAACGACGACGAGGAGGAAGGAAGGGCCTGCTCCAGTGGCTTTCAAGTGGTGAGGGGGTGTGAACCCTGAGGGGATTCCTTGGGGCTGACCACTGTCTTTCTCTTCAGGGGTTAGAGCCATTGGGGAATTAAAAAACAACTCCAACCAAGTAAACAAACAAACTAAGGTCACTTTGGTCTGTCTGTCAGGGCTTCTGGTCTCTGCCTCCCCTCCCAGGCGTCTTATAGCTCCCCTTGGCCTGATGGGAGATAAGCCCAGTCATTTGAAAGGACTGCCACTTATCTTCAACATTCCACATGCATGCTGATAACGGTTGACAAGCAGCTAATTATATTCCTCTGGACCAGGAAGGAGTCTCTTTGGACTCTGGTTTAGAGTGATTCTCAGGCACAGTTGATCATGTTCCTTGTTGGGTGGGGGGGCCTGGTGTCAGGGGACGGGGTGGATGGGGAGCAGAGGAGGCATGGAGCTTTTTAATTAGTGACTTTAGTGAACCAGTAGCCCTCTGACCTTATGGACGCAGCTCAAAAGCCCACTGTTTCCATGAGACGAACTCAGTCCTGGGGGCTCTGACCAGCATCAGGCCCTGTAAGGATCCTTACTGTATTCTACCCTAACATTGCTGTCCCTGCCCACCCCCCGCTTCACCTCCGGCCCTTCTCTTTACCCTGATAAGCACTGGTTGCCCGATGACCTCTGGTGTATGATCTGCATCTGTGGACAGCCCTGGTGGCGAAGGGGATTCAGTGCTGGCTCCACTGCAACTGCCAGGTTGGCGGTTCTAACCCATCAGCCGCATTGGGGGTGGAAGAAGTGGCAGTCTGCTTTTGGGAGGTTCACAGCCTTGGGGGCAGGGGTGGGGCCAGCTCTACCACTGCCCTGTAGTGTCTCCAGGAGTCAGCGTCACCCTGGTGACCACGCGTTTGGCAAGTCATCAGCCCTCCTGGGTTACAGATACGCCCAGGTGGGCCGGGTGAGTTCTGTCCCCGAATCACGTGGCCCGGAGGACTCACCGCAGTTTTTCTCGTCACTGCCGTCGGCACAGTCCTCGTCCCCGTCACACTTCCACAGCAGGGTGATGCAGCGCCCGTTGGTGCACTGGAACTGGGAGGGGTCGCACTTGGGTTTCCTCCCTGGAATCAGGAGGAAGAGAGTCGGCTCAGCACTGACAGGGGCCCCCACACCCAGGGGGCCAGGGACACTGCTGTCCCTGAAGGTGATGATGTTATTCCGGAGAGGGAAGGACCCATGCTTGGGAAAACAGAGGGAGGCCCTCCGCCAGATGGGCTGACCCAGTGGCTATGGCAATGGGCGCCAAGAGAAAGCACAGTCTGCCAGGAGGCACAGGACCGGCGGTGCTGGTTGTGCTGTGCATCGCATGGCTGTGACTTTGCAGCAGCCAGAGCCAGATGGGTCTCTCGGCAGTGAGTGATGCTATCGAGTGTCCCCTGGGCACTGGAGCCAGCGTGGGGGAAACTAACAGGGAAATAGGACGAGGGCCGTATTCCCTAACTCATAGCAGAGGGGATCTGGAAAGCTGGTATTCCACAGTAGGAAAGCCTCCACGTTGGTAAATTAGAGGTAAAGTCCAAGTCCACGACCCTGCTTTAAAGATCATTCCCACAGTCTCCCCTGCCTTCCTGTGAGCACAGGGTTGATTCGATCTCCCTATAGACGCAGACCTGGTCCTTTTGCTCTCTTTCCACCGTGACACCCAACCCCCTCTTGCACCTTCCCCCCAATGCAGGTATTAGGTTTCCTCACCTGTGAGCTCAGGGACCTTACTGTAGATACCCACCCACCATGTAACTCTGAATATGCATGTCTCAAGGCTACCGATAAATGTCCCAAGATAGAAAAGGCTGGCTCTCACTTCTCCCCCAGTGCCACGTGGTCCATCAAGAGGAGCTGAGGTGAGCATGCTACCCTAAAACGTGTCCGACTCTTTTACTTCACTCTCCTATCATCTTTATATACGACTTCCTTACGTTTGTGCCTTCTGGCCTTTTGGGTGTTGGAGGCTGTGTCGTCCAGCCAAGGAGGGCAGTCTGGCTGATACAATGTAACCAGAGACCGTTACACACAACTTTAAGGGAACTGCTTTCAAGACCAAGGGGTCCCAGGCTCCTTCCCATGAGCCCTTTCTGATTCTGGAAAATGGGGCACGGTGGGTGGCCAGGAGAGCCAGTCCAAGACAGAAGGAGGAGGAGCCTAGTGGCCCAGATGCTCGGGATGTCTTAGAGAAGACAAGTTCCCTTAAGCCACTTCTGTGGCTCTAAGTCCTGGGGCCAAATCCCAGCCCGTCAGCGGCACGTCTTGGCCACCCGATGCCATAATTTATGGACAAGTTGAGTGGGATAGTTAGAAGGGGCAGCAGGAGAGGGTATAGCAGGCCTCAAGGGTGAACAGCTAGCACAGCGGTTCTCAACCTGTGGGTCGCGACCCCTTTGGGGGTCAAATGACCCTTTCAGGAGGGTTACCTGATTCATAACAGTAGCAAAATGACAGTGATGAAGTAGCAATGAAAATAATTGTACGGTTGGGGGGGTCACCACAATATGAGGAACTGTATGAAAGGGTCGCAGCATGAGGAAGGTTGAGAACCACAGCTCTTAGAACTCAAAGTCTAACGGTAGAGAGACGTGTCTACCAAATCACGCTCAGAGCAGATAGAGACCCTCCAGAGGAAGAACTAGGCACAGCTTGGCGGCAAAGGAGGTGACTAATCTCTAACTTACTCGCAGGGAAGAAAGGCAAGGCCCATCACCCCAAAGGCCTGGTTTCTCCGTCCTGGGC